AAATAAACATAGCGGTGCTCCAACAACTGACGTAATGTGAAGATGTGATCAATGCAGCCTCGATTTTGACAAAACCCGGCTTGCTCCTCGCGCATCTGGCCTACTCAAGGGCCGGTCAGTCTATGGAAGACGACGGACGCAAGTAACTTAGTGACAATGGAGATAAAACTGATTCCTGTATGACTGCCGCATTTGGAACGAGAGCCTTCCTTGAAAACCGGAGCTATTACGGAATGCCTCCAGTCTGTCGGGACAGTCTTCTGCTACCATACATGCACTAGTAAGTTATGTAAACTTTCCAAACGAGCAGGTCCCCCAAATTTGAAGAGCACTGGATGAATTCCATCTGCTCCGGCGGCCTTGTTCAATTTCAGTCATCTGATCTCACGTTCGATTTCTGCGCGCGTGGGCACATCCAAGGGAACGACCCAGAGAGTAGAGCGCTCATTTGCCGATGGAGAAACTGGCAACTCTGGCTGGTTAAACTGCTTCTCAAATTGTTCGGCCCAACGCTCCAAGCGTTTTGACAAACTGGATCGCCTGTTCACTCTCGTCGCTTATGGTCTCGCTAACACGGGGCTCCTGCTGCCCGCTTCTCTTATCAAACGGAATAACTTCCGATGCTTACCAAGGGCAGCGTCTGTTTCCTTCTCCGAGGCACGATGAGACCACCAGACCTTGCGGTCTCTCTTCAGTCTAGCATGTAGTTTTGCGAGTCCTTGTATTCGCTTCCTGCCGGAACACGTCGGCGAGCATCCAAAAATTCCAGAATGTAAAGACCCAATGTCTAGGTTGGCAATTTGATTTACTACGTGATGACATACCTGCTGCTAATAACGTCTGGCGGATATGCGACCAGTCATCTTCGACTGTGTTCAATGGACGTTTACTCAGCTCAGATACCAGCGTACTTTGATACGCATTCAGAACATATGGCTTCGCCAGCTGGCAAATATCCATGCGTTCACAGCGCCGTTGCGGACGTCCACCGAAACGCACCCGGAGGTCGGCGCAAACAAGTGCGTTTTCAGAGTCCACGTTCTTGCTCCAAATCGAGCGGCAGTTTTGAACGCATCTTCTCCAGCGGTAAGTGGTTGCAATGTGATCTATTTGCGCCCATGGCTGGTCCGAGGCTGGTGGGCGCCATGTCACCCTCCGGTGGGTACTGTGTCGGAAGTTGGTGCTCGCAAGTATGAGACGAGCATCTTCACACAGTTGTAGCAACCACTCACCCTTATCATTATAGGAGCCTACACCGTGTTGCCTGCCCAGATGAAGGTCATCAGTGGACAGTTTTCCGATTTGGGCGTTCAGATCACCAGCAAATATCACGGTATCCATACTGTTTCTATGACGGAGGAGCGCGTTTAATTGTTGACCGAAGTCGTCTTCCATTGAGTCAGCGCTGCAATTTCTGGGCGCTAGGCCACAATAACAAACAGGCATCGTTTGTCCCCACGCAACTTCGCTGCTTTGAATGAGCCAGCCAATCTGACAGCGCACATCCGGCTGTTCATTGGGATCCGATCGATCAAAGCTGATTCAGCCCGGAGGCTAAGAGCAATGCATACACCAGCTTGACCGGCATTTGAAGCCGCTTCATCTCCTGTCCAGTGCAATGAGGAAATACCGGCAGTGTCGCACGTTGGGGATCGGAGGGTAATAACATAACTCGAATCTTGCAGGCGGTTTCTGACAAGCAGCAGACATCGTTTGATAGGGTCTCCATTGTCCGGGCAATTGCTGTCTGTTGGCCAGTTTACAACAAAGTGCGCAGATTGAAGCATGTCAGTCTTAGGGAGGACCGAGGGCTCCACATAAAAGTAGATGAACTGACGTTGTCCGTTTGATTAGACTTAAACTTGCCGACTGAACCGGAGCGACGCCCTGCGATTGCGTGTGAGTCGAAATTGGAAGAGGAACGATTACTGATCAAAGATGAGGGAGGGCCAAGAATTCGGGGATTGAAAACAGGAGGGATAAAAGTGAAGTTGGAACGGGATGATAAGGATTAAACAAAAGCGCAAGCAGGAGAATAAGAAGACGGGAACGTATGAGCAGTAGCATCCAAACCCCTATCCACCCTGTTCGATGCAGCAGATAGGGCGCCGTTGATTATCCTCTTCGACGGCCAGAGCTTCAATCGATTATTTGAAGGAGAGGTCATAATGTTGTATTGCGTGGGCAGGATATTGTCAGGTTGCCCAGGCATAGACAGTAGAACAATTAAGGTTCTCCACCAAATACTTTTGTTCAAAAACCTGACCGCAAGGCAGCAGGTTTTGGCAATGTACTACAGAGAGTCCATTTTCTGGAGTAAGGAGCCACCCTCACTCTAACCCCCAACCTGGAGAGCCAGGAGACTGAGTTTGTCAGGCCTCTAGCCATTGGCCAGTCCAGTATGAGTGGCTCCGAAGATGCAAACGGCACCACTCAGCATAGCTCAATGGATCGCTGAGGCACGCAAACCATCGTACCGCTTTAAGATCCAGTCTCGTGGCGATGGGACCTTTCGGTCGGTGCGACGGAACCTTGTAAACTGTCCGGAAGGCGCGTTTCAGATCCACTACATGGCCGATGTCCACAGTATGGGCCAGAATTACGCTACTTATGGTCCCGGCGCCTTCATGACGCAACCAACGAGGGCAATGTTCGTTCACGCATCTGGATGAATGCCGCGTCGTTCGACCAATGTACCTTTCGCCATAGGCGCACACGAACCGATAAATTACCATTGTGGTGGTCAGCATCGGCACCTTGTCCTTGTCTTTTGAACGAATGAGTAGTTCCGTTAAAAACACGCACTTTAGCAAGGTTGCTGGGAAGCTTGGCTTTACCGCGTCCGAAAGGTTTCTAGTTAGACGCTCGGTAGCCACGCCCCCTTTGAAAGGTAACCGAATAAATTGCTCTTCCTTTGTCGCTGTTAACACTGGTACTGGTTTGGTTTTTTCTTAGAATTTCTTTGAAATAAATCTATCGGGATATCCATTTTCACCTAGCGTATTCTGTAGGAACTTCAACTCCGCGTCTAGGGTGTCTTCCGAGCAGATTTTACGTGCTCTCGGGGTGAGACATTAAACCATTATTATAACATCTGACTGTAACTGAACCCACTCCGAACGGGAAGCAAGAACACCACCCTACCGGACGAGCTGTATTTAAATACTGACAAAGCTGAGCAACCGGGACGCAAAAGATCAATAGATCAATAGGCCAACCACATGAAAGGGCAGTCATGAATGGTGAGCGGTTTAGTTCTGAACGACTGTCGTGCGCTTGTCCAACCCAATCACGTGACGAGACAGTCACGAATGTCACTATCTAACTGTCGGCGGCTGTGAAGCGCAAGTCCGTCTGACAACCATGTTGCGCTTGTATCTCATAGTAACCAAACTGTGAAAGAGTGTACTGACCAATGCACGTTGTCTTTCTGTAGACCTGACGCTAGATGGATCCGTCTGGTCTCCTAGTTAACAAGACATCGAGATACGGTAGCCGGTTGTCGATATTCTTCTCATAACTACACTGCACTGCTGCATGCGCTCGGTTAAAGTGGTCGCGCATTTTATCCATATTGACATGTTTATCCACCAAAACAAATATATCGTTCATGTATCGGTGATTGCGGTCAGCTAGGTTTATCGCCGCCCGCATTTCGGTTCTCTCCAGCTTTGCCGTGGAGATATCCACCAGTAACGGTCGGAGTGGGGATCCCATGGCTACGCCGTCCTTCTACAGGTGTATTTGCCGCTGAATAAAAACTGCACATTCCAGGTGTAGCCCAACAGTAGGCCTTTGAGCTCACGCGTAATTATACACACTTTTATTCCGGACGTACGGCTTACCGGTTCGTATGTCCGGGGTTCGATTCTCCGTCGAGGCAGGTTATTGTGCAGTTTAATCGCGTCTTCTACTTTCTACAATATTACACTACTCACAAAATCACCAATAATCCAAATTTACCATCGCCCTTTGAATATCTGAAGGACAGATACTTCGGTTCATTGGGAAGTGACGAGTGAGTGAGCCAATCTGCAACACCAGGATAGATGCTGTGAGCTTGTTGGTAATACATCGCGAACCGAACAGAAGTCATGTATTAAATTGCGCACCTGATCGTCAGTCCTCGGTAGCTCAGTTGGTAGAGCAGCGGACCGGTAATCCGTATGTCCGGGGTTCGGTTCCCCGTCGAGGCAGATTATTGTGCAAAGTTTACTCGTAGCTTCTACTTTCTACAACGTCATTTGTTGTCGAATAGTGATTATCTTTGACTCAGTAGGCGCCCTCGATGTAGAATTTTCACATATTTCCTAACAAGTACAAGGCATTTTTGTTGTTTTTTTTACGACTATCTAATTGATTTATATTGCGTTACGGTAGCTGAGGCGCTGCTCACCTCTAGCCATCGTGTGGCTTCTCATTTTTTTGATTTTTGTCTTTGCATTACTCTTTCTATCTATTTTCCTTGTTTTCCCTAGTTTTACACTTTATCCCACCGGCTTCCTCTTCTCATTTTGAATCGGTTCATTACAACTTGGTCTGCTTTTTGCTCCTAATTTACAACGTATTTGGTAAAGCGTATTAATTTGAATAAACTACTCTGTTCCAGGTTAGTGTGCTTCCGAACAATTTGTGTGCATCACGGCTACTCGTCATTAACTACAGGTTTGCACGCCCCTACAGCGCTGCTCACGGGGGGCTTATATGTTCGCAACTTTAGTTTACGCGGAACAGTGGAGGACTGTAAATTTCGCAATAACTTCTAGGTTTACTTCTTGTGTGTTTCCGACCTCACTGCGACACACAGGTTAAGCGACAAATTTGAGAATCGATTTATAACAAACTGCCTCCTTTCTCCATGTGCGTGAACGTGAATAACGCATACCGAACTCGCGTTCCTTCTTACCTACGCTTTTTCTTATGTAACTTCGTTTCTCCTGCTCCATTAACCTTGCCAACTAACGTCTCATTGGCTGCACTTTTCTATTTGGTCCTATCAGGGTCGTGTCGTCGAGCCGCTTGCCGATTTTCATAAGGACGAAGTGAGGCAGCTTGGTCGACAGCTCGGGTTACCGGACGAAATTGTCAACAGACATCCATTTCCAGGTCCCGGACTGGCTATCCGGATAATCTGTGCAGTTGAGCCGTATATGGATCGGGATTTTTCTGAGAACACAAGTTTGATAAAAATGATTGCAGGCTACCACAAGATGTCTCAGAAGGTAAGTTCTGCTGCTGCTCCCTACAAGTCATTGTTTTCTCCACATTCTCTGGCAGACGTGCAGTGGTGCTACCGGGACGCCATTTTGTTCCCATCTGATTAATTCTGTCTTTAAATTCCATACTCAGTAAAGCTTTGTATCCGGCCTCCATCATACATCCGGAAAGACGGCGGTTGTCCGTTCCATTCTTTCTGGAAACATCAGCATTGTGTGGTGGCTATTTGACTGAGTCTGGTCTTACAAACCCCCCTTTTACTATCTTGTAATCAGAACGCAGCCCAGCCTGCTTACCACTCTATATGTCACTTGGCAGCTTACCCTTAAGTAATCATTTTTCAGGGGCCAACCCGTGTTCTACACGGTAGTTGAGAGTGAGCCGAATTATATCGCACCAAGTACCCTAGTTTGTGATCTCTGCGCATGCTGCAACTGACTGCAGTTGTGACTCGGTAGAGCACAGCTTTTATTGTGAGGTTCATCAGCTCTTGGCCGGCCCGTAGCCTAGAGGTAACGTGCTTGTCTCGTAATCTTGCGGCGCGGGTTCGAGCCTGCGTAGGAGCAGGGCAACCCTCACAGTATCATTAGCCGACGTGGTGGTTGCGCGGCAGAGAAGCGTCGGTACTGCATACCGGCCTACTGCTGATGCCTTCTTTATTTGGTTATTCAGCTCTTGAGCAACGCTAAAAAACCGGATACCATTGTCCTCACTGAGGGTTTCAATGCTCGCATTGACCGCGTGTTACCGTGCAAACGTCACTTTGGTGGTCACCATGTGAGAAATGAGCGTGTTTGCTGCCTTCTTTAAGGCACAGGAAGATAAAGTGAACCGCTCAGCATCGTTATTTCACGAACCAGCCTCCGTTGGCTTGGTCACGTGTTGCGCATATCAGCACACCGACTCCCGCGACCAGGGTGTGAATGGAAGAAGAGGAAAGGAGGCTAACCGACGACATGGTCAAGAGGAATGAATGCGCTAAATTCGAAATTGTCCTCGGTTGGAGCCTCTCGTTTTCCTGGTTGTGGCCTGAAAAGCAAACATATATGCCTGGGTACACTTGTTGGTATGGCTACGAGCCGACTTCATTGGCGTTTGTGTTGTGTGTTTCTCTGTCCCTCCCCCTTCTCCTCTAACAACGACCTCATTCTTTTCGCTAGATGGATTTCACCTTTTTTGTGGATCGTTTTCAGTTTGGATTTCTTTGCAAAGACGGCTGTTTCGAAGCCCGACTATTCACGTCGTGCTCTACACTGCTCTTACATCTTTCTCATTCGCTTCAGTTGGTATCACTAAAGTTTTTGACGCCGTTTCTCACTATTCTTTATTCCGAGCCGCCTCTTCTTTTGACGCTCCATCGTTTCTGCTGAATTTTCTTCCCATTATGTCTCCGCTATTTTCACTTTCAACGGGATCGACATTCATCCATGGAGAAACGTCCGGCAAGTGGACTCGCTTTCCCCAATGCTTTTCATCATGAGTTTGGATGAGGCCAGTTGAGTAGCAATTGCTTTTGCAGCCAGGTGCCGTAGTAATATTTTCTCCCTCCTCTGACAATTGTAAATCTGTACACCTCCACAATACTAACGAACAGCCCTTCAATCTTACGTTTCATAGAAAATTGTAAAGTGCTAATTTTAGAGTGCTGTTGTTAATGCAAGTATTCGTACAAAATTTACACATGCACTTTCCGTGTATTATTTGTTGCAAAAGTATCGATAAATACCAAAATTCAGTCCATCGGGAAGTCCCCTCTCTTTGGGATGCAATGCCAAGTCCATGAACATTGTCTTGTTCATTGCTTATCGAAGGTAGTTTTTTTATACCGTGTGGTGTACCAAGCGCTAGTGGCTATTCGGCTCCATGATTGGACTGTAGATCTACCAACAGAGCGCCAGAGCCTCCTCGAACTAAGGGTTATGTCGGATGTTGTATCGAGTTGTAGACGAACTGGATGCCCATTGATGTGAACCTACACATAATTCCGGTTGTGGGTAGCATGGTGTAGGAAGGTGGTGGATAGACGGATGACCTTCCAACTGTCTTGGAAATCTCATTTTCAAGACTTTAGAGTTCGGACTGACCTGTTCCTATTAAATGGCGGCGACTGACAGAAACCTATATGTCCGACTGTGTGACACCCCCACAACGGTGATATCTGAACGGGCAGAACCTTTGGTAGTGCCAGTATGGAGGCTTTTTTGGACTGATATGGTTATCAGTGGATGACTGCGGTAACGATTTCTGCTTAGATTGGATAGCAGCGACCATTGAAAGAGTAGGAGCCGTCATCACAGTTTACTTACTTTTGTCAGGATCATATTTTAGGTTGGGGCGCCGCTCGCATTGGTGCACAAGTTGTGCCATTGTTATGTCAGATTCGAATTTGATCTTAGCCAGTTATCTGGTTCATGGATCTGCATCTCGTGGTGACTAGAGGTCGCAGACAAAAATCAACCATTGGAAAGGATCCGAGCTTGAAACGGCTGCACTCACGATTGACGGGGCCACCGTGTGTGACGAAGCCGTTTGCGTCCCGCTTGACTGTGTTGGAGGCACTGGGAACCCGTGTTAAACAAAGATGAGGTCTCCCCGAACAGCTACCAAAACATCTGCGCTGTACCCTCGAAGGAGTGTGACGACGATTCAGCAGCGTGATGTTTCTGTAACGGACATGTTCCGCTAGGCACAATTTCTGGAGTAGTATCCGGATTTCGGTCTCGTCGTCTCGATCGTCCAGTTCAACTGAGAAGATATCCTCCTGCTGTTTATACCATGATGCGAATTTCACGCGAGCTTGCGGATCATATTGGAAATCAGCATTGTTCTTCACACTTTGTTCCACTGACGGTACTTCTGCGGGTGATGAAGATGAGCCCAAACTGGCGGCTTTCGTGTTACGCATCTCCATTACCTTGATCTGGGTTCGCATCAACTGCTTCAAGTCATCATCGGTAGATTTGGTTGATCAGAATATACCAACACCTCCGTCGCCAACTGTTACAAATGGAAATTACCTCGGATAATAGCTCGGATCACTCGCTTCACTGCAGCCACAAATGTCCACAACAGAGGACCAGACATCCGAGCGAAACGTGTAATCCAGCCAAGCGAATAACGTCTGATACCCGTTCAATCGGAGGAAGAATTTATCAGCGATATTCAGAGTATGGAGGTTCGATAATGAGCGGACCTAAAGGAGATGATAGATTAAGAGGGAACGCCTCTTATGCAACTCTCAGTAAAACATCGACTCTGGGATTCCGACTTCCCTGCAATCAGCGTGTCCACAACGACTATGTGCGTAGGCGAGTCATTATGAATACACATTAGCTGAAGGTGAGAAAAACACCGCAACTAATGCGCTGCAATACAAAAACAGAAGATACTAAGCCTTGGAGTTTACAAAAACTAAACGGAAAATAAGTAACATATTGCTGACTGTCATGCGTCAGGTATAGGATCGTGATTGGAGAGGGGAATCTAAAGGGAGTAGAGGGACGCAGAAACACACAACACTACACATCCTCATTATGCACTTCAGCTAAAAGTGGGAAACGCCTTGACTATTGTGCCGCAATACATACGAAAGGAAAAATGTCGCAAGACAAGTACGCCAGGTGATTCACCAGTAACGGATGGGCATCATTCCGGAGAGCTAGCAGCCGGATATTGTGCTGCAAAGTAAGTTGTATTACACGTCATAAATGACATTCTGATTGAAGGGGCTCGTACGCGAGAAAAGAAGGACCAAGAAATTCACAACACAAACGCCAATGAAGTTGGCTCCTAACCATATGTATCCAGCCAAACATGTTCGTCTTTCCGGCCCCAGCCAGGAAGATGAGAGGCTCCAACCGAGGGCAACTTCGAATTTAGGGCATTCATTCCTCTTAACCCTGTCGTACGTGGACCTCTTTTCCTCTTCTATGCACTCCCTGATCGCGGGAGTCGGTGTGCTGGTATGCGCCACACGTGGCCAAGCCATCGGAGCCTGGTTCTTGAAATGACGGTACTGAGCCGTTCACTTCCTCTTCCTGTGCCCTAAAGATGGCACCAAACACACTCATTGCTCACACGGTGTTTCCCCCAGATGTACGCCACAATGCGCGAGCACCGGTGGTCGAACGTAACTAGCCTCTTTACATCTTCCGTTCTAATGGGCCAGGTTTCACAGTCGTACAGTAAGGTCGAACGTACGGTTGCGTTGTACGCTCTACTCTTCCTGGAGAGTGTGATGTCGCGCCGACACCATAGGTGGCAAAAGTTGGCAGAAGCGCCTCGAGCTTTTGCTATACGATTGGTGTCTTCCTCTTCGATTACGCAGGCGTTGATGAAACTGCCTAGGTAGTTGAATTTCCGAACTACGTCTAGCTAATCTTTGCCAACGTTCAGCGCGGTCCCTGCCAATAAATAAATAAATTTTTTATTCTCGGCAGGGCGAGGCACGCCTTTACAGGCATGATCATTTTGACAAAGCAATGCGTGATCAAGAATGTACAAAAATCCGATATGTTTGCCATAACAGTGTATGTTTGTGTATGTAATTGTGCGTGTGTATGTAGCTGTGTTATTTGTGCTTCTATTTGTGCTGGAATGTTTGATATCGTCGGCAACGTGCGCGTGGAAGATTGATGTCCTTGAGTTAGAAAGGACTATCGGTATATCCACGGAGGATAGCTTTGCATTTCGTGGTTGCCAGGCAAAGCCCGAAATGGTTAACAGTCAATGCTTATCTGACAGTTCCCCAACATTTTGCGCTAAGTGGATGTGATCGTTGCATCCCCGACCTCGACGTAACCCGGCTTGCTTCTCACGAATCTGACTTTTACGAGTTTCATACACTCTGTGAAGGATGACAGATTAAAGTAACTTGACAATGATGGAGATCAGACTGATTCCTCGATGAACTCACTCACCAAGCTCCTCTAGTTCGACCACGTATTACGCCCGCCGGCACACCGATTCTCGCAACGTGCTCTGTTTGCGCGACCGTGGTGTGAATGAAAGTGGAGGAGGACAGGCGAACCGATGACTTGGTCAGAAGGAAAAGGGCCCTCACTTCGAAAATGGCCTGTGGCTTAAAGGATCACACGCATGCCTTGTAACTTGGAGGTCGCACATTCGAACCTGCATAGGGGACCAAGCGATCATCGTAGTATGCTTGGCCCACGTGCGACTAGTGGCAGTAAAGCGTCGGTACTACATACCGGCGTCCGTTGGAACCTCTCGACTCCCTGATTGGGATCCAAAGGACGATGAACACGTTTGGTTGGGCACACATGTTGACGTGGTGGCGAGCCGACCTTGGTCGTGTTTGTATTGTGCGTCCATCTTTCCCTCCCTATCCCGCTTAGTTTCACTATCCAACGACGGTCTCAATGTCGAAACATGATAATAAACTTGTATGATTTTTATTCTTTCCGTTTTGTCCTTTTTTATCACTTGTACTGTGGCACATTATCTGAGGCATTTGTCACTTCCAGCGAACATACATAATGGTAATACGTTAGTGTGACTAATTAGATTTTCACGGAACAGATTACTTTATTTGCAGAGATTTTGTTACCAGGCTGGGAAACATCATTAGGGTAACTTACAAGTTTTACTCGCAGCGCCCCAGCAACGCCCGCATAAAACTACTGTTTGGCGATCAATCTATTATCCGGATATCCTCAGCAGCTATTGGCTCGTGTTTGACTTCCCTGTGTAATGTTTGGACACTGTCAGAGTTTTGGTTACCAGCCGTCACTGGTTGAGTTGGCTGTCTGATCTGACTGTTGATAAACGTATCATGTGATAAAGTCACCGTTGCTCGGTAACAGATTCGTCGTCCTCTGATCTGGATTGGACACCGGTAACCAATTGGGCCTAGTTCGGTGACGGGACGCTCCAAGCTTCGTTCTTAGGTGCTTCTAATCGACGCACGTGCGTAGGGTAAACGGACGATTGCAACACTCCCGCGAATCGTTGCACACACCCAAAATCTGCCGACTGACGCACAACGACTATGCCGATTGATTGATGCGCACCCCGTAGTGCTGCGAGCAAATGAGAAAGAATACAGATCTCTACAGTGTGCTTGTTTCGACTAAGCAGAGGCAATACACACCAAGACCCCGCTTTGATTGTAGAGTGAATGACTCATTACGTCGAGGTGTGATATTCACAAAGAATAACTTCAATTCCGTGCCCGCTGCGTTGGGAGAAGAAAATTTGTCTCGCGCCGCACGGCCTAGTGATGGTGTGTAAATTTTGGGGGATCGCTTGGCCCTCCTGCAACATATCACTCACCTCATTTTTAGTATACACAATCTAGTCCGCTGGTAGCGCTATGAACAAATGCCCCAACTCGATGCGTCTTCTTATTCGTAAAAGTTGTCGTAGTATATTTAGACCCACATGTTCCAGTGTCTTTCGTATTGATTCCCTATACCTCCATCATAAATCTGCGTTTGGCTCTGGTATCCCAATTCGCGCTCGTGCTGTTGACCACCGAGGGACATCGTTTTTTAAAGCCTTTCACTTGTGTCCTGTCCAGACGCCGTTACTTTTTTCCGTTTGTCGCACCCTCCTCTATAGCCTCATGCGCTGCTAACCAAAATTAATACCGCTCTTCGTGTGGATGAGCAACAGCGACTGGCAGAGATCACAGTACAGCGTACCTTGGCTGCACACCTACTTCCCATTCGTGCTGTCGGAGTGCAGGTGAGCATGCTTCTGTTTTCCATACCATCCTGGTTTTGTTTACTGCTCGGTCGCTAGAGAATTGCTCTATTTCTCTTTTTTACACTCATTATCGCCTTCTCGTTTCCTGAACGGATTCAGTACTATGACGCAACTTATTCGTGAGTATCCGTAATGTGATGATTTAGGCGTTTAGCTCTCAACTTCCTACGTTGTCCCTTATGCATGGGTCTGGGCTCTCCAGCAGTATCCAAACCGACCTGCAGCAGCTTGTGGCTGCACAATAGCGAGGTATTAGTATAGAATACTTGTGTAACTGAAATCCCTTTTATGTGCTATGCGTCGTTTACGTCTCGCATTTAGTTCTCGCCGTGTTCGCGGATGATACTGTGTAAGTTCAATCTCTTCAATTGACCTTTCTACAAAGGAGTTGTAAGAGGGTTAAATGATATAAATAGACATTCATCACATCTGGACCCAACCAACCAGTCATCATACTCACGGAAAGGCACTGTACAACTGCTTCATTCTTTCGGGAATCGTCAGCAGTGCGCATTCCTTGGGGCCCCTTTGGACCTGTAACCCGTAACCCAACCGTTACCAATCCCTGGGGAAGGCCACATGGCTACGGGGGGACAATAACGACCGACGTGACTAAGTTGCTACATACGACATATCGCCCTCACTACCGCTCCTTGAGGAGGCTACCCTGTCCTCTGCACAGCAGTAAAGTGAAAATCAGTGTATCTGGTTGCATTACTAGTTTGCGGTATTTCGAAACAACGGGGATCGCTAAGTGTTAGCTTCTGTCAACATCCCTTGACATAGATACACCAGAATGCAAGGCATATGCATGCGACATCGGAGAATGCAACATTAGGAAAGAACAGATAAAAAGTACATTTATTTAGGCTGAGTCAATGGAATATATCAACGAATATTTACTGGAGAGGTACATTGGGATTTATTCGTTTTCAACAAACAACCCTCCCACCATCTGAGTTCGCATGTTTCTTTCTGATGCATCGCTTTGGGTTTCGCGCTTAATTAAAGCCGTTCGGTTCCGCACCGATCTTATCTAGATCTACCTCCTCTTACAATCTTGTGTATCAGATATAAATTACAGGGTTCAGATAGTTTGCCCAAACAATCCTTCATTTTATATGCTTCATTAATTTAGATCATTGGTACAGATGCAAGTGATATTGAATGCATTTTAGTTCTCGGCGTAGACAATCCGAATGTGTCATCTACTTATGAAACTCCATCGCCAGTGCTCTTTCCTCTTTGCCTCCTTTACCCGCAAATCTCTCCTTTTCAAGTCAACCTGCAGCGAAACTAAACGTTGATGTTGCGCAGTGCTCTGCCTAATTTTCCGACCCCTTGAGCCAAGTCGGTTAGTTTCTTTGGGTGGTTTGCTTAGAGCTCAGATATATTTTTCTCTGGCTCTCCAGTTGGAGGGTCAGAGTTGAGACTTCCATTTCTGTACAAACAGCATTTTAATATATTCCCGTCTTCTTTCAGATGCCATTTCGAGTCAAATGCCTTCTTATGGGTCATAGTCGTCCATCTGTCTACGTTTGGGTGCCCTATCGACATGTTACCATGACTCTTCCAATGAACCCTATCATTATCCTCCATCAGCAGTGGCACAGGGTCGACTCGTCCCCTACATACTGTAGGGCGACTAAATGAAAACATGTTACTGTTTAAGCCTTCTTTTCTATCTTGCTCCTCGTTTCTCTCCCTACACATATCGCTAACCTTATGTATTATCTAGCTCAACTAATGACATGCAACACCTGCAGCTCTGCTCCACCGCTAACCGTTGGGCACCTACTGTTAACAACATTTTACTAGGGTACGCTGCTCTGTTTCTTTCCCGATGGTCAGTTATCACGCCTAAGGACAATAGGTTGGTTTGAATACCCATGCATCTACGTTGAATTTCTTGGATTTTGACGCGGTTCAATTCCGCGTACGGGTGGGCGTCCTTGCGGGGTACTCAGCTCGCGTGCGACTGGTGGTGTTCGCACGGCAACGCAGCGCCGTTGCGGTGTACAGCTGACGCATTACTATTACTATTATTATTATGTAGTCTATTTCATTCAACGCACTCTCTACTGCTAACACGTGTCACGCGCTGCACGTGTGTTCTCTACTGACCAAGCTGTAGTGGACGTCGTTCTTACTTCCCGTGCTGAACCATCACTGATTACTTTAACTGACTTGGACGGCCATCTGTGTGTTGCTTACTTGACAGTATCAATAGTAGTCAGCTTCTGGGTATCTGTGAACGTTGTCACTTCGTTGTTACCAAGTATACCCCAGCCGACTACCGTCCAGACGCTACCAGTGATCCCTTCTGCCACGAATTAAATTAATGATATATGCGGCCAATTGGAAATATAGATACAAATCTTGGCTATTGAAGCTGCTTAGAATCTTGGTTAGGCGAGAAGGTTGATCTTAACTGCGAAATCACTGACAGTAGCTAACGTTTGTCGCGACTGCATCTACCTCATCGGCCGTTCCTGAATGTGATTACTTTCAGGCACTGTGGACACAAAATCCATCTGGCCTGCTCCGACAGCTGGTTAACAGTGGAGCTAAGTAGACCAAATCGTTGCTCACTTCAACGCACACCTCCACCCTTGACTGACGCCTAGTGTAAAAATCACATCTATGCTAACATAGATTGTCCCAGCCTCGGTTATAAAAAACTGCTACGATGCTCTGTTTACCTATCGTCTACCGAATTACTGAGGTCACCGGTGTGCACTGGAATAATATTGCTACTGTTATACACCACACTGGAGCTTCTGTTTTCGGCACTATTAACCTTTGAAACCTACTGTGCCCCCAAGTTGGGATGCACGAATTACAGTTGGATTTCTTAGGTGCTTACCAGTTGAACTGGAGCACATAAACAAGCTCCATCGTATGTTCAGTTTCAACATGTCTGTAGCACCTTACAACGCTGACTGCTTGGTATTCTTAGAATGGCTGAAGCACTACCAAGGGGCAAAACTCCGTCACTTGGAAGTGGCACTCGTTCTGACGTTTCGTTGCCACGCGAGCACCAGCGCTTGCGAGCAGACTGGGATACTGCAAGGTCTATCGCACCTACGGCCGCTGGAAGCATCGCCTTCTGGTTTACCAATCAGATGTCCGAACCACTTAGCCACCGGCCGCGCTAATGGAAACAGTTGTATACTTTCCAGCTCATCCGGAGTACGTGTTATAGAAAGCCCTCGGTTAGTCAGACAACAGCTGAGAATGCTAGACAGCCGATCAATTCTCAGCCTCCTTAAATACTAGTCGGTTAAGCACAACGCTTTGAGCAACACTGCGACACTACCGCTTTCCGAATCATCCATATCCACGTGGGATGTTGATGTCGCACCCATAACTTTGTTAAAAACACACGAACTCGCTGTGTGTTAAACAGGACTCCTGAACCAGACAACCTGAAATATACGTTTAATAGTAGAGGAGTGCCTTTAAACTGGTTGTCAACTGTCCTCCGCATTTTCAAAAATCGTCAAAAGACTGTGGGAAAATCACCAGTTCACCAGTATTCTTTCCACTACTTGCAGACCTCTCTAGAGTACTACACTTCGTTAGAGCTGAATCATTGGGAGCAAGCTTGCTTCCGATCTAGTTGTCATTGTTGTTATATATACCACATATCTGCTTGTCATCACATATTGTAACAGACACACATGCAGTCGACCGACTATGATAGCTTTCCCTGACCTCAAAGTCGCCTTTGCCTCTACTGACCGCGTCAACTTGTCCACTGTGCCATCCTAAAATCTCTTACCGCGACTCCCGAGGCCATATTAAGTTCTCCTGAGTTTCCCACAACACATGGAGTGCATCATTGTTGCCCTATGTCCTTTATTACCCAGTTTTACTGTCAAAATAATCACAACTAACTCTCACTTTTCACTCTCTTGTTATTGATGTGTGTCTTGTCTCAGAAACCCATACATCACATGAAACACACACGATAATACTTAGACTCCTTAGATCCTAATCTGCCGACAATGACTGCCCTCTTCGTGTCTTTGGCAATACTGAGCCAATGAGTCTAGGTATTTACGGTGTCGGTTTCGCCCTCAGCAAACATGCTGAACGTAATCTATTCGGCTGGATATCAGTGAACAATTGTATGTCTGCGGTCCACATTGGCATTTCTTTTGGGGTTTGTAACCATGTGAAGACTTGGTGTCTCTTTATCACAGTTTATGTAGTTCTGAGAGTATCGAAGACGATTCCTACTACCACCTTTTATCTCATCTCCGCATGGTGAAGAATACTGACATCGGGATTGTTGCTGGGGTCTTGAATGCCCAAGTGAAGTCGCCTTCCTTACGCTGAACAAACCTGGGAGGGTGCTTCGGAGTCGATGTACGCCGAACAGTCAATGATGATCGATTCCCGCAACTGCATGTCTACCACAACCTTTACCTTAGCAACACTGCTTTCCAGCACAAACGTCCACACCGCGTCACCTGGCGCCCACCGAATTCCTCAATGACCTGGGCCCCAATTGATCATATCGCCGTCATATATAGATGGCGCACATCAGTCCCAGACTGTCGGGCTCACACGCCTGGCGCTCACTTTTCTCAGCTTCAAAGAAATGTCTCACTTCTATGCTTCTTAGCTGTAACTTGAATCCACTGTCCGCAGTTCTACACTATCATGACGACCTGACCCATCAATTCTCCGTGATACATAAAGTGGATGAGCCAAGTGTTGACTGGAATCGGCTCAAGTGGGCTATGAAGAATGCTTTTGACGCTTTCTGTGCACACAACATGAGACGTCGGAACTGTGAGATCTCAGGCATCGATCAATTTTATCTAAGCACTCAAACAGGTTCCGTTGGGTACCGCGTTTCAACGCGTCGGTAACTTCCTGTAACGACGATTGACCATGGGTATTCGAATTAACAGGGAACACTGGCGAGTGACATGAGCCGGTGAGATGGGGAAAACCAGTGCTAGTGG